TTCAGCACATTATGGCAAAACATTTCTGTAAAGTTAAAATAAGTGATATGGGATTCGAGAAACATTTTTCTGTCAAAAAAATTATGTTATAATAAATTTTCATTCACTTTCCCGTCATTTTCTCATAGCTGATACACGGTGACATCCAGAACATTTTGACATACAGACTAATTTTTGTATCTTTTTTTCAGTGTAACCTTAATTATTTTACAAATAAGCTTGTAATAGTAATAAGATAGTAAAGTAATTTTAACAATAAACATAAATTGTGTTTTAAAGAATTTATCTAATAATTTGGAATTTTATGTAATTTTTTAATTGTTTTTCGTTATCATCAAATTTGTATAAAAGAAATTCAAATTTGTTTGATTTTCATTTCTGTTTATTTTGGCTTATTTTTTTTTTTGGCATGTATAAATTTTGTTTACGCGTTTAAGACTATAAGAAAATGAAATTAATTTTATGATCTAAAATTGAAATTATTAACTTTGTAGGTATTTAAGATTTTTTTTTAATTAAAAATTAAAATATTTATTATATTTTTTTTTTCATGAATTTATTTTTTAATTTATTTATTTATATTTTACGGTCATACTTTAACATGACATTTTAAATTTGTTTTTCTAAAATGCAGTTTCTAAACAAAGAACGGACGTGCAATCTAAATTGTAGGATTGTGTATTGCCATTACACAATTCGTCACTTACTACTCAAAGATCAATGCAGTTTCAATGTCGAGGATTCTTTCAAAATTAATATAAATATTGCATTGAAAAATTTAAAATTCACCTGTTGTCAATTTTTGACAGAAATGAAATTAATACACAAAATATTAATAGGCACTGCATTGTTAAATAGTAATGTATTGGCGTTTGTGAATTTAATTTCAATATTTTCAATATAAAAATATAAATCTTCAGTTTAGTCCTTATTTTTTCTATGTATATAAAATGAATGCAACCAATTATTGTAAAATTTTATATAAAAAATTTAAAATATCAAATATTTATAAAAGTTTAAATGACGTCAGTTGATTCTAAATGCAGAATCAATTGGATTATTAAATATAAGAAATTATTTAAGAAATTATAATGCGGTGGCAATTGGTGTACTTATAATTTTCTTTTTAAACAACTGACGTGTTCACAGGTGTACTCGTAAATTATAAAAATTATTTATATGCATTTCCTTTCTTTTTTAATGGTAGCCTTTATAATAGTTTGTGTATTAATTTTCATGTACTGCAAGTTATATATGCATGCATATTTATACAAGCATGTACACATGTTGGGTTAGGTAAAGTTTTTTTAATTGAATTTTATATAAGTATATTTACTTTTTCTTTATTTTACACGTGTATACATACATATCTGTTAGAATAAGATTTAGAGAAGACCGCTTACGTGTTTCATAAAAAATTTTTAGAAAATTTACAATTACATTGCGGCTCTTTTATAACTGAAAAAATTGAGTTGCAAAACAAAAAGTTTTTTGACACATTATTTGTCAAAAAAAAAAAAAAAATTATGATGATAATGAAGCGCATTCAGTCGACCTAAACTTCTTTAAATTAAAAAAAAACGCTTGACTTAAACGATTTAAAAATTTTAAAGCATGAAAAAACAGAATGTTTCTTTATGCAATGATTTGTTTTTGACGTTTGAATATCGTAATATTGAATATAGTAATATCGTAATAAAATATTGACGTTTGAATACCTAAAAGTTTTCAATGGATAAATTTGAAAATGTTAAATAAATTTGTAGCATTAATAAAACGTATTGTAGAAAAATGTTTACCCTGGTCAACATATTTTGGACGTAATCCTTTTTTTTTCGTGCGAATAATGGCAACTGTTCCGATTTGAGCATTTCTGCGAATTACACTGAAAAAACTAAAGTGAAATGAATCGCGCTCCTAAGCGGAGAGCACTTTTCAGCAATTTACTGTATATTAATAAAATAGAACTTAATCTCATTTTTCACGAAAAATTAATAATATTAAAAATAGCATTTTTTTTTCTTAATCGTATGATCGTAATTGAAGCTTTTTTTTATTTTATTTTATATATTTTTATTTTGTCGTATAATGATCCAATTAACATCATATACAAAATAAAATGCATTTATTCGACAATTATAAACTTTAACCAATTCACACATACAAACATACATAATGTATACATATATCCATACATAGTGCATACATACACGTACATATAGTATGTATGTATAAATAACATTATAATGTTATTTTACATTTTAATATTGATAACATAAACAGTTGTTGTTGCTGAATTGAGATTTTCAATTTTGTGACGTAAATTTTTTTATTTTATTATTTTTAATTTTAATTATAAGATAAAAATAAATAAATAAAATGAAGGAAATCAAATAAAATAAAATTGTGTAATTATTTTTTTTTTTAATAAAACAATTGTAAATTTTTAAAATTTAATTGTGAATGAATGTATACATATAGAATTGTTATTGCTTTAACAAATAAATTGATTGTTAATTTTTGTAATTTTTATTTTTTTTTATTATACTAATAAAATGAAAATTTTATGAAAAAATCGTAAAAAAAAAATTATGTTTTTTTTTTCTTATTTTTGTTTAAAAACCCCATGAAATATTTTTTTTCTTTATTATTTTTGCAAATATTTTATTGAACCGAAAAGAATTTAATCGAAAACTTTTGAAATTTTTTGTTATATAGCGATTTAAAATTTTTTTTTGTTAATGATCCCATTTAGCTTGTTGATGTTAATTAATGTTGTTCTATGTACATATACATAAATATTATGTCAAATATATTTAAACTGATCATTGATCAAGAAATTTTAATTGTATATAAATTGATGTTTGGTGAAGAATTTTTTAAATATGTCAATATAATTAGAAATGCATATATATTTGCATTGTTATATTTAGTTGACATTGACATTTAGTTGATATGTTTTTGTATATGAATTAAATAGTATATAATATTGTATGTATTTATTAGCATGATATGTCTCAATATTGCAAACGGTAACTCTTAATATTGTGTACAGTATCGAATATTTTTTTATTTAAGAAATTTTGTAAAGTTATTATGTAATGAGAATAGGTATAGTTGACTGTGATATCGTAGCTTCTATATAATTTTTGAGATATAACCAAATAAATTTTATAGTTGTATGATAGCTACCTGATCTACTTCTTCGATCAAATCCAATTTTAAAAATGTTCTGGAATTTAATATAATAAGTTCTACACAGAACGATTCAGAAACAACTCAGAATTCTACGCTGATTAAAAAAATATAATTAAGGCCATTATTTCTTAAGAAGTGCAAACGATAAAGAAAATTTAGTATATAACCTTCGAGCATACGGGTAAAAAGCTTGTTTTTAACAAATTTCAGCAATTTTATAGCAATTATAAGCTAAATTATAAAATAATATTGGGATTTTCACTTTGCAGTCATAAAAAAGTCAATTCTTTATTATTTGAATTTTAATTAATTTAAATCGAAGATTTTTTGTCTTATTGACATATTACGTCAAAGTATTCATAAATTTAACGTATGAGGCGTAAACAAAACTTTACGCGTTATTTGTTAAATTTTTAGTAAACTCGAGTGCATTTACACTTTTTTTTAATAAGCCTGTAAATAATGTAGTTAACATAGAGCGTGCATACATAATTTTTCAAATATATAACAAATATGTGTATTCAGTAATATTATCAAAAAAATATTACTTTCTAATTATAGAACAACGCTTCGTATATAAAAACTTGAGCATCACAAGCATATTTTATTAGTTTTCTGTAATTTTTATGATTAAATTGATCTTTGGTTTTGTTCCGTGTTTTTTTTTTGTCTTTGTTTCTGTAGTATAGAAAGCATATTTCAGTTTTCCCAGTAGAACACAACTTACCAATAGAGCACATTATTATTGTTTGAGCACAAATATTTAAAACATCCATTGTAGAAAAAGAGTTTGTATTTCCTAGCTTTAATTTTTTATTAATTTTTTTTTATTTCCTTTTAATATTATATGAAATCCTAATAAATTTAGAAATAATTGTCATCTATGATTTTTTCAATATTAAGAAATTTTAATTTTAAATTGAAGTTGCTTTTTTCAATTTTATTTTTGTTTTTCTTATTAAATTACCAAATATTATTTTTATGTTTAACAATATAAAAAACAAAGATTTTAATGTGAATATTGAACTACATTATATGAATAGTTACTCTATAGTTGACAATATGTGATTTGAAATTTTATTAATGACAATTCTAACTAAGTTGAAAAATCAAATAAAATGTCAAATACAGTATTTTTATGATTATTTACTTCATGTTTATTTACTAAATTTTCGTGTTCATAAATAATTTTCGTAGTTCATAAGTGAAAATATGAAAATAAGTTCAAAAAATATGTCAAAAAATTTGCACTGAAATTTATTATTGTCATTATAAGATAACTTCTGACAAAATCTGAGAATAATAATTTGATATGCCATTCGATAACAATGTAATTTTTACAATTGAATTTCTCAATTTCTATAAAAATTTTGAAATTTTAATGGAAATTGATTTTCTGAAAAAGATTAGTGTTTACATATATTTTCTCTCTTCTTAATATTTACATACATATGCATATACCTAATTTAGAATATATGGTTTTTCTCATTAAAAAATTTGGTCCCCTATAATCGGGTTCCCTATCTCTACAAATGACAAAATATTTTAGTAAAAATTCTTTATTTCAAATCACAATCTTTAATATTATTTCGAATTCACATATTAGGTACAACGAACACACGTCTCGTTAAAAATGTCAAACTGTTTAAATACTGAGTTCAATATCTCAATATAATTTTTATTATTAAATATTGAATATCAAATATATCAAAAATAAAAGAGAATGAAAATAAAAAAAAAATTCAAATCAGAAAAAAAAACAAATATCCTTATGTTTTTTTTTTCATTCCATATTATGACAGGGTGAAAAGTACAACCAAACGTTTCATTCTTAGCTAACTTCAAAAAAACAAACAAAATTTAATATAAAACAAAAAAATGACAGCACTATTTAAATAGTCTAATTCTTCCAAATGTGATAAATACGTAAAAAATAAAAAAAAAATAAATAAATTTATATTTTTAAATTGAAAAAAAATATACATATATATATATTTTAAATATGTCATATGAAGCTGTTGAAAACAATTTCGAAACAGAATACAACAATAAAGTTCAATTTCATGAAAATTCCAATGAATTAACAAGCAACTCAACAACAAGAACAACAACATTAACATTAAAAAATTTAAATGATTTTGAAGGAAAAAATCAAATTGATTTTCAATCATTATTATTATATAATAATCAGGAGCAAAAAAAGGATCAAGGGATTACAAAAATTACTTTAATGCCAGAATATGATATTGACAACCGATTGAATAGTTTAAAAGAAAATAAAAAATGTATCACTTGTCTTCAATCATCTTTATCATCTTCTTCTCAAATCAAAAACTCTCAAAATTTTCAATCTCATATTAATGATGAAAGTACTACTGTTGATGAAATTAATAATAATGAACAAAATAAAAAAATTGTATATAAAATTCCTAAAATCAGTATTAATACAACAAATACAACAACTTCAACAACTCCTACTACAATAAAACCTGCAACAAATGCTAAAAAACGTTGGAATATATTAGCAAAAGTTTTACGTAATGGTTCATTAGAAGATGAAGATGGTTTATCATCATCTGATGATGGTTATAGTGGCGGTAGTAGCAGTGGTAGTGGCAATTGTAGTGATATTGCATCTGTACGACGTTTTAAAACTTTTAATTTATTACATCAAGATAGTTTTGAAGATTATACAAGTTTAAATATAATTGGTAAACCAGAAAATTGGTATACATATAAAATTTATTTAAATAATAATGAATATATTGCAAATATACATCATGTTGATCGACATTTAACAGCAACTGATTTAATGGGTTTTAATAATACCGGTAATATATGTGTATGGCCATCAGAAGAAGCTTTAACTGTATATACATTAAATGATTTAAATATATTTCGTGATAAATGGATATTAGAATTAGGTGGTGGTATGACATGTTTAACTGGTATATTATTAGCTAAATATGCTAAACCATATATTGTACATTTAACTGATGGTAATTGTTTATCAATTGATAATGTACGTAAAACAATATGCTTAAATGATTTATCTTGTTATACAAAATGTTCTGTATTAAAATGGGAAAATGTTAAAAATCGTTTAGAAAATGAATATGAAAAATTTGATTATATTTTATCAGCTGATTGTTTATTTTTTGATGATGTTAGAAGTGCACTTGTTGAAACAATATGGTATTATTTATCAATAAATGGTATTGCATTAGTTATGGCACCAGAACGTGGTAATACAATGAAACAATTTATAAATGAATGTAATATTAAAGGATTTCAATATCAGAAAATTTATCATTATAATGATATTATATGGGAGAAACATATAAATTTAAAGAAAACAAATTCATTTTATGATGAAGATATTCATTATCCAATATTAATAAAATTAACTAAACCAAAATTAATATAAAGAAAAAATTCTAGTTATATACATACATAGTATGTATGTATCTTAATATGCACTCTGGAACCAATTTAGAAAACAAATCCGATTTTAGAATTAATTGTTAAAAATATTAAAATTTTTTAAAAACTATAAATTACATATTATATATATATAGATTTTCCGAAACCAAAGATATATTGTACATAATATATATATAAATTACAATTATTTAAACAATTTTATGAAAAAAGCACTAAAAAGACTATATACTAGATTTTTATATAATAAAATTAAGATGTTTTCAATTTAGATTGTATTGAATTTTTAGGTATTTAAAATTATAACAATTTGAAAGAGAAATACATATTATATATTTAAAATATTATGTAATATTTAAAAATATTTAGAATAGAAAATTGTATTTATGTAGCTACATATATATATTTAAAAAACAAATTAAAAATCCTAATGATATTAAATATCCATTTCCTATTATAAAAACTTCTCTGGATTTTTATTTTCTATTTTTTAATATACTAACCGTGAAAACTTTATTAATTTTATTTGTCCTTCTTCTTTCAGGTTTAAATGATAATTTTTTTTTTTAAACTATAATAAAATTAACTTGTGACTTTAATTATAAGCAGGTACATAATTACAAAAATAATAGACTAGCAATTATATAATCTCGCGGTGATACTATAGAACTGAAGAATGGTGACATTTTACTGATATATACATACATATGTACGAGTATGATAGAAACAGGTGTTAAATCGGTCGCTTTCTGATTTAACTTCCCAAAATACAGTGTGAGAGTATAACAAACAATGTACTGCTGATCCAGAATGAAATGCAAAAAAATTAGTCTCTAGAATGTAGTCTCTACCAAAATGCAGAAGTTGAATATTTGCCATTTCTTTCGATACCTTTTGAAAATCTATACTGAAGTTTTATTTATTTATGCTAACACAAAATTATGCTACGTGATATGGAAAGAAAAACGCATTCTTTGTGGAACACAATACAAATTTTGGATCTATTCTTCTGAAATTTATTAGCTGTTTTCTGCTTCCCTTTTCTTCAAACTTTGTAATTACATATTGTTATCATAGGTATTGAAAAATCTCATATAATTTTAAACATTATTTAATTTTTTTTTTCAAATTGATTGCTATTTAGTAATTATATAAAAGAGTGTTGAATAAATTAAAACACCCAAGTTTCACACCACCGAAAATGTCATTTTACAATAATTGAAATAAATCAATTTTTGTTCTTTTTTAAGATTATTAAAATAATAATAGCAATAAAACCACAAATCAAATATCATTATTCTTTATTATACCCATATATTACAAGTATATATGCTCGTGTAAGTATATGTTTAATAGGTATTTTGTATTGTAAATTGAAAAAGAAATCATGTTAAAAAATAATTATAAATCAAACTAACAAATCGTCACGAATATGCAAGATTGTCACTCTTTCATTACGTATATACCACAACAAATGGTTGAAAATTGTAAAAAAAAAGAAAATTGAATTTAAAAATAAAAGGATGAAAAAAAAAAACTGCGAAATTTTACAATAGAAAAATGTCAAGGATAGTTGAAAACCTTTTGTTTCTTTTTCAAAGCTTTATCAATTTTTCTCATTTTGTTTTTATACTCGTATAGTTTTTGTTGTATACTCAGACTTTTAACGCATACTAAAATTTATTTGTAAGTACGAAAATAGAGTCAAACTCACCTGAAAAATTGGAAATGTAAGCTAATGGAGTAAAGAACTACCAATTGATTTATTGAATTTTGAATTTTTTTTTTTATAATTGAAAATGAGAAATGAAATTATTTTGAAAATATGCATTTAATCGTATGAACCATTAGTTTACAAAATAATATAAAATTAAAAAAAAAAATGGAGTCAAAACAGAGGTTTGTAAGGTAGAACATTTGCTTTATATGCAATATTTGAGGGCTTTTAAATAAAATAAAGTTTTATTTACACTTTCCGTTTAAGATCATACACCGTGTAGAAGCATTATTATACATTCATACACCTAGTTATTGAACAATATTTATTATACACTCTTGAGTATAAGTTGAGTAATGGTCGAATTATATGAACAATTAAGCCGGTAGAAATGTTAAGTTATATTTTTTGACAAGGCGACATCTTTAGTTTCTTCTTTGTATTTGTACAGAAATTTGCTAAAGTCCTAAGAAATTACAGCTTATATAGATCAAAATGGCAAAAAAAAGTTGTGCTAACTAAATTAATAAATCATAAATATCTAGCAAACCGTTGCCATTACTTACTTCTAAAGTTTTTCGTAAAAGAAGAAAATTATGTTAAATATTTTAAGAAAAGCTTAAAAGAAAAATAGATTTTGTGGAATTGAAAATTTTTTGAGATTTTAAGGTCTTTTTTTAAATAAACTAAACAATAATTTTCATTTAAAGTTGTAGGTGGGTACAAGTCACCTTTTTAAAATTTGGTAAAATTTTTAAATTAAAATAAGTAAAATACAAATTATATAATGGTAAGACATTTGAAGTAGCGAAATCTATTGGTAATATTTATAACTAACCAATATATTAAAATTTTTTTTAAACCTCAATGTTACATTTGATTATTTTTTCATTTTGAATATTTTAAGTTCCCTTTGCCCTTCTTTATTCGCATTTTCATGTAAAATATTTTAAAAGTTTGACAGCTTTAGATTATTTTTTTTTTTCATTTTAAAAGACACCAAATCTCATTTAGCGAATCAAATTCATTCAAGTGTAATAATTCTTTTATATCTGATTACTATTATAATCCTTCTTTAAATATAGCTATATTGCTTTTATTATTCTTACTATATAACCTCCCAATATAGAAATGTCACCTATCAATATATTATTATGTAGTATACATACATAAATTATTTAACTGTTGTGCACACACAGACAATTTAGAACGTCTCTTTATTTCTTTATTAAGAAGATTTTCAACAAAATTTAGAAAAATGTTTTTATTTGTTTATCACTGTCATGTCCGTTCATCAGTACGTTTGTTTACAAAAATTTACGTTTTAATTGAGAGCTCCTCCCCTCGTCTGTCATGTTTTATTTTCTTGAACTAAACAAAATTTGAATTCTTACTAAGTTAGTTATTCTTTTTAAATTTTTGTGGCGATTTCAGTTCTAATATATTTTTGTCAAAAAAGGGTTTTGTCTCTTAACTTACTTAATTAGCGCAATTTATCAGACGTCCGTTACTTAGGTCAATAGTTTAGCACATCGCAATTTAAAAGATTATTATAAAATTAAATTACACAAAAGTTTAGATCTAAAAGTACCCTTACTAAGAGTAGGGTACAATACCAAAGAATTAGAATTAACACAACGTAACCGGATTTTCTCTATCATAATCAGTAAAATGATAGCGAATATTAAACAATTCAACAGGTCTAAGATTCAGTATAGTATCTTTAATAGAAATCTGCATAAACAATGAAGGAGCCACAATGGTCACCGACACAAGCTGATGGATAAACACTATCTATGTTTAATTTTATCTAACTATTTTGTCTTAATTTTCTCTACTTTCTAATTTATGATCTCATCCCAAAAATATGCAATGCGTGAATATGAAATACGACTTTAAATACAAAAACAAATTGGTTTTATTTGTCTAAGGAAAATGTGCTTTTTTACAATGTCCTGGTTTAATTCAAATTTATTTTCATATAAATTTAAAAATTTACTATATAAGCTTCTGGGGAACATGCTATACGATTAGATTACGTTTTACATACATATACATATAAAAGATGAATAGTATAATGGAATCAATTCAAAATAAACTTTCTGAATTTGAACTTGAAAAAGAAATTTTTAATATGTGTAAAAATAAATTTTCCATATTATATTATGAGAAAAGAAAAAAAGTTATCGTTTTATCGTTTCATTTATTCTAATAATCCTTTTATTTTTTGTCTCTATTTTTTATAATTTATTTTTATTAGTCAGGTTATTAGTTATATTTTCCATGTTTTCCGCTAATATTAATATATAATTAACCCAATATTATTCTATATAATATTATTTGTTCACTCTTCTAATGTTTAGTTGTATATAAAATGTAAAATATCTTTTATATATTGTTGCGGTATGGCGCTATAAATTATATTATTTTAATGATAGTATGTATATTTTGTATATATGTAGTTATAGTTGATGATTCATATTATAACTAGTCGTGTGTGCTTGCATTGCAAGCCTTGCAAGTATGATGCCTGTAGTTTTGAAATTGTGTTCCATTCTGTGGCTGAGATATTTTAAGTTTACTTTATTTCTTCAAAAACACACCCATAATATACATATAGATATGTTTTTTCCTGATAAATAATAAGATAAAACTTAAAACTTAAAATAAAAAAGTTCTGAGAAATAATTACCCAAAAATACATAATTAAACAAATAATTAGTTCCTTTGAAATCTAATACCTTTTGAGTAATTTATTTTAAAACTTCACTTTGAGTTATGTCGCATAAAATCGTAAAATACCTTCTACAATAAACACTTTTAGCCATAAATTATTGTTAATTATAAACTACAATTCATGCACGTATGTATTTGGAGTTTATAATACATGCGAATAAAACGCGTGACTGTAGAATGAGTTAACACCAATACTAACGTATATAGGGTAATACGTATTGCATACGATTTCTATGCGAAAAGTCTCAGGTTCGAACCCTGCAAAATGCGATTTGCCAGATCAACTTTTTTTATTGATAATTTTATTTTTTTTTTAAATAAAATTAAAAAACCTTCACCCTTACCAAATCAATATCAGCGAGTTTCCGTTCTAAAAATTTTACCCTACTTGTAAAAAGTTTAATGCAATAGAATAACATTTTCTTATAAAATTTTACCCTAAAAATATATTGTCAAGGAGTTTAATGTAAACTTATGTTTTGCTTTCTAATACATGTTGCAACAGATCCCGAAAAGAATGCACAACTAAATTCATATGTACACACTTATTATAAAACAATGTAGATTTTATTAAAACAATTTTCTTAAGAAAGTTTTCATTTTTTGTTATAACTCACACTTCCAAAAATGAATTTATATACAATATTAATACTTCCAAAAGTAAGTAAAAAATTACCCCTACAGGATGTAAAACCATTTTGTAAAAAACGGTTACAAAACATCTTGGGAGGGGGTGAAGGGGGAGGGCGGGTGGAATTGTTGCTTTTTCTGGGACCCTGG